TCTTTTTTGCTGACAGCATATATATCTACGAGGATCAGCATTTCTACTGAGTTCTGCCGTTGCTTGTGTCTTCAGCGTTGCCAAAAGATCCGCTCCGTACAGAAAGACCGGTCCTGCCTGTACGCCTCCCCCCTTAGGCTGACGCGCATCTTCATATCGTGCAGTACACCGCTTATCTTTTTATTTCAGCTACATTTCGTTCGAATAATTTCTTAATCCTCTGTCAATTTTCCAACTGCCTTGCAGGATGGAACCAGATAGTCGAATTCTTGGGTTTGAGGCAGCATACCCTCGGACACTATCACTGATTTATTGGGTTTCACTTCAAAAAGCTTGGCTTGCCATATATTCTGACTCGTCTTTGCTCAGAAGAAGGCCATTCTTCACAAAAACTCTTCTTTATGCACAGGGTTTTATTTCTACTGCTTTTCTGCTTTCGCTGCTTATCACTACCTCATTCACATAAATCAAGCACAATGGGGTTGCTTCCTGCAGATGTTCCGTTATCGCGTCTGTTATCATCGAGAACAGAAACTGAATCAGTGCTGAACAATGATAGACCCCTACCCGGAGAGGATTCTGGTAAGACTAACACATTTTTCTAGTACCGTGCTCCTGCATATTGTCTGCTTCGATATTCAAACAAAAGCTTTCTCTAGGTCCACGAACACCATATGAATGCCCAGGTTGTCGTCTTCTTTCGAGAACTGACCAACTTTGAAATACATGTACGTGAAAATAAAATTACTCAAAACTGATCAGCTGACTCTCGGTGCACTATTGTGTTGCCTGCTTCGGCGCAATTGTACTTATTTTAAGTGTTCATTAGAAATTTGTTCAACATAGATGTAACGTGGATCACTAGGACCGGTTGGTAAATGCTAACGAATCGCGCAAGTCATTCCTCTCAAAGTCTAGCCATTTTCCCATAAGCACGGCATTCTTGATTCTTGATATAATTTCATGAAGGTACAAATTGATGACTCTCCCCTGCCCGTGAGATAAGCTGCGTGACTGAGCTACTGTAGCCTCATGTTTCTGCTTTCGATGACAACGCTTTTCACTCAAGTCTTCTGTCTAATCATCATGTTAGGAATGTGTTGCGATGTGAAAGTCTGGACCTTTTTCTTTCCATAGCTTTCTTACTGACACATAGCTGGTATCCTTTGGCTTCAGTAATTGACCACGTCTCATATTCACACAACATTGCTGGCAAAACGGTAGAACTGAAGAAGTAGGAGTGAGTGGTTTCTTTGTTGATGTTGTCGAGGAGGACGTCCTTGATGGAACTAAATGCGTGTCAACCCTCTTTTTTCATTGAATCTCTTAAGCCTGATCAAGCCGCATGTTCATGTCTTGGCCCAGGTAAATAAATTCATCGACTTCTTCATAGAGAAAATGTAACCACTCTTAAATGGAAAAGTTTTCACAATTTTACGCATACAACTTATATCAACAAATTTAATTACGTTATTTAAGGCAATTTAATCTTTAAGTAAGTCACAAACGGGAAGACAACGCATAAAATGGTCGTTAATTAGGGACATCTGACGTTTTGGACCAAGTTCGGCCCGTCTTCAGAGCATAAGGTACCTAGCATGGTCCAAAACGGCAGATGTCCCTAATTAACGATTATTTTATGCGTTGTCTTCCCTTCTGTAACTAACCTAAAAATTATATTACGTACCGCAAAAAGAAATCATGTACGATTTCAATTTAAGGCAATTCATATGTTAATGCGGAAAATTGACGAATTTAGTCCCGTCTGCTGCAAAAAATCCTTAACTGGTAGTACGGTGTCTCAAAGCTCACTTGTCCACTATAAAGCACCTGAAAATTGCCCATTTGTTATGGATAAACGCCTGCACCAGTCCAACACATGCTAAAACACTGTATAGTGAGGTGTATAATTAAACGTTTTCACGCTGTTCCTCATTAGTCCATTCATAGTGAATTAAAGTCTAGTAAAAAACCTGTTCGAAAAATCACCTTCAACAAATTTGTTGCATATCTACTTACCAAAGCGTACAAATTCACTTCCAGGTTGAAGTCGTGCGGCAGGTTACTCATCTGTACGTAGTTTGGAAATTCTAGACATCCAGTCTTCAGCGCGTCATCGCTGCTGATTAGTGGTGTCGCCAGCAGCAAATCACGGTATTTCAGCAGACATATGAAGTAAAATATTTTATTGTCTAAAGAACAAACGTTATTGAAGTGGGTAGATAACAGGACATAATGAGGCTAAAACGAGGAAGATTTGCGTACTTATAAAAATGACAAGCAAACAAAGTAAACGTGGCATTTCAGGTACCTAACACTCTTCGTAAAACCTAGTTTATCCCTTTTCTTTAAACAATCCATCCGTTTATTTAAACGATGGATGAACATATAGAACTCAATGGATCTGAATTGCGGGCTCTGTTGAAAAACAGAAAGAAAGTGAGAGGATAGATCATTTCAGAACAGAATTTTCTTCAAGGTACTGTTCTTATGGGAAATATCAACTGACGTTGGAGACCAGCCATGAAGCAGAAAGGCCGTGCGGAGGTAGATATGCGTACCTTGATGAATACGACTGTTGTTGCAGCCTTAAAACAAAATTATGACCCAATTTCAAATGGATCTAATATCACAAACCTAGGCGATTTGCTGTTGAAATTTCGGTAGCCTCAGCTGATGGTAATGATGATGAAAACTACGACATAATGAATGTGTTCCATAGATTATAACGCACGCAGACGACCTTAGTTTGTAGGTTTACTTTTGGTCAAAATTTTCTGCGTGCTTTGGAGGCACCATTTCGTACTGGTCAAATATTAGTCTAGGCAACACTGATGCTCAAGCTCTGTTAGAATAGGACGAAGACGGTAACACTAGCAACAATCCTTATTAAAAAAATGCCATGTGCAGATCCTGGATATCAAATGAACGGATTTCACTATTAGACTGAAGTAGAAAAACTTACTTACCCCCATTAAATCACTGCAATGTGAGCAAGCCCTCAAACTGGAGAAACATATTACAAGACCACTGCTTCACAAAAGCTTTATTCTATAAGCCACTGGTGAAATATCTCAATGCCGCCATTCTCTTCATACCGAATGTCCAACCAACTGGAGTCACCAAGAACAGCGATGCCTATAAGTTCTTAAATATGCACCAATTTGCATCTAAAGGGTACCTCTCCAAAATTTGTCATCATCATCGGAAGTATTCAACCTGTCTGAAAATGAACATAGGAGAATGTCTACGTTGGCATGGTCACTTTTACTGTGTTCATTTATCTATCGTGGCACAATAAAATTTTAGGAAGTTGAAAGCCGTCGTTGTAATAAGACTTGAGCCTGATGCATTACAAAAATATCTTGCACTTGCCAAACAATAACTCTTAGTGGTCTGCAAATGATAGGCAATCCTCTCGAGAAAGAAAACATCGACCTTCTCGGTGCAAATGACATGAATAAGTGAAGCTGCTGCTGGATGTACAGCGCTGGGCAAAGCCAGCTGTTAAAGAAAAAAAAATCTAATAATTTTTTTAATATTGAGGTGAAAGACCAATGGTAGCACCTAATAAAATGGTATATACTTTCGCTACCGAAGCGTTTCGCTAGGGTACACTGATAAAATAATTAACGCACTACTGATAAGGCTGACAAAGAGCCGCCTATCAGGACGAAACAGAACATAGAGATATAAATAAGAGGAAATGTGTATAAAAAATTGGATTGGGGTCAG